CGACGTTGACCTGATCCTACACTCTTCATATCCATATCGAGATCTTCCATCTGAAAAAATTCCAGACTAGATGGTCCCCCAAAATCAAAAGTAAATTCCCTTACAGTAAATGTAATCCGTACAACTCCAGATGGTTTCTCTTTGTCGACGAGGTAAAGATTGGTATGACTCGAATGATCGAAATGCGATCGTACATCATCCCATCGTTGAGCCATTTGTGCCATAAGTAGATTGTTGTCTATTATCATTGCAAAACGTTTTGCTGTCTGCAAATCACCTTCTCATTTCCCGTAAATTGCATTTCAACCATTCAAATTGGAACTTACGAGAAGAGCTTTTTGAGTGAGTTCACATTCTTTCGTGAATTTGTTTCCCTCATTTTTCAGGATTGTCTCCAATAGGAGACCATATTTCGCTGGTCTACTGATAACTCGCGTCATCGTAGATTTGAACTCATACCGGCGATATAGGGGATCATGGGAAGTCGACTGAAATGTAGTTAGAATTCTGAATCAAACGTAATCATCTAGCTCTGAGATGGTTTGAAAGCAATATTCAAAAAATTACAATTATACGAGATTCTCAAGCGCAAGTTGAATGAGACGTTCCGACTAAACCAACTAAACCATAGCCCAAGCATCAGCTCATAAGATTCATTCGCGGCCGAGAAATTCGACTCCAAACTCTAACCCAGACCGTACTACCTACCGTAACGAGGACGCTCATCGCAGTCTGGGCCGCAATTCAAAGTTGAATATCTCGGCTAAAAATGAATAATACGAACTGCCAATTGAGCAACTGCTTGGCTAAATTCTCCAAATCCGTATTCACATAGAAAGTCCAGATACCCAAATTTGCCCCAATATTGCCTTTAAAAAGAGGAAAAAGGATTCCGCACCATATATTCGTTTCGGTCGTTTAGCTACCATTGTCATCTTTCAAACGAAGATTAGCAGCACAATGGCAAGAAAAGTCATTACGGCCTTTGTTTGAGGCCATCACATATTGAATCTTCTATGCGAGGGCACCATTTTGAGAATGCTTAGAAGATGCTTTGGTTCAAAAATCATTAGAAAGCCAGATAAATTTTCTAAATAATTTACAAAACTTTCCAAAAAGGGAACTTACCACGCAAGGAGGATTTTTCCTTTTCCTTAGAGGAACGTTTTGTAAGATCTAATTTAGCCCATTTTCTTTTTGTTTGTAGCAGATAAGAATATGCTCAAAGGCATTGTATAGGTCAACTTGGGGGTATTGGGATTTGACACAGTGTGAGAGCACGGCTCCTGACCAACGCGTTCAAGTCCGATTGAAAAAGATGGAATGTGGAACCAGAAAATTGCTTCGGACGAGGTTGCAAGAAAGGGGGCGGTACTCCAATCCCGCCCCCTTGA